GTTCTACTAGTTGCTTCATTTCATTTTTATTTCTCCTTAATATTTCATTTTCACAAGAGAGATTTTCTATCCTGTCCATTAAGGATTTCTGTAGTTCAATAATTTGTTTTTGAGAACTTCTTAATGTTCTTATCAATTTTTTGAGATCTGCTTCTTGCATTTCTTTTATCTGCTCATTTTCATAATCTTGAATTGGTGTGTCTTTTTCATTTGGGGGCATCATAGTGTCTTCCTTGTTCTTGTTACCTCAGTTTCTGCATTTGTTGTTTGGCATTGTGGAGATATTCTTTGGTTTCTTCAGTGTGGTGTTTTTTCTCGTTATACTATGACCCTAGTTTAAATGGACTGTCTGCTTTTGATGGATCCTTAGAGGCTGTGATTGGTGTGGCCAGAGAGCTCTGTTTGGTTCTTCAGGGTTAAGGGTGTGCCAAAGGTGACTCACCAAGGTTGTTCTCTCTCTCACTCTCTCTCTCTCTCTCTTTTTGACTCAGAAGGGAAGTAATTCCATACAGCTGAGTGGAATTGAGGGTAGTTGATGTATGAAATCTGGCCCCTGTGGGTATTAGTCTGCTCTACCCCAAGGACCACACAAAGGGCCTATGCAGACCTCATGTGGTCTCAAATTTCTCTGTAGTCTCTCACCAGGTTGCCAAGGTTACCGTTTTTTTTTTTTTTTCTCTCCTCCAGTCACCCTGGTGAACTTTCCCCAGCTGGGCTTCAAGCCTCCTTCCCTCTACTCTCTTTCTGCCTTTCTCCGCTGATGACTCGGTTTACAGAGGTTTTTACCTCATCTCCCCTTCCAGCGCTGGCACACAGAACTCTACAGCTCGGCTTCCATGCCTCGGCTTCCCTGCTGTGGGCGTCCTTGCTCTCCCGTAGGTCCTCTGTGTCTCATCCATTAGATCCAGAAGAGTTTCCTCTGTAATTTTTTCCCAAGCCTTTTCCTGAGACTACAGTAACTCCACTTTTATTAAACTATCTTTTCCCAGACTATCAGTGCACGCCCTCACTGTTCCGCCATCTGGGCTCTGCCCCTCATAGTATTTTTTATAACTGATCTTTGGAACGGACACCATTAGGATTTGCCCTGAGCTGCTTACCTTCAAAGCAAAACCTGGTGTGATTTTTAAAAGTTTATTTATTTATTTGAAAGAGTTAATCAGAGAAAGAGAAGATGAGGCAGAGAAAGAGACGTCTTCCATCTACTAGTTCACTCCCCAGATGGCTGCAACAGCTGGAGCTGCACTGATCTGAAGCCAGGATCCAGGAGCTTCCTCTGGGTCTCCCACATGTGTGCAGGGGTCCAAGGACTTGGGCCATCTTCTGCTGCTTTCCCAGGCCACAGCAGAGAGCTAGATCAGAAGTGGTGCAGCTGGGACTTGAACCAGTGCCCATATGGGTTGACGGCACTGCAGGTGGTGGGTTTTACCTGCTATCCCACAGCACTGGCCCATGGAATGATCTTTTATGCATTTTTCATATCCCCAAGAAAACATGAGCAATTTAATGGAAATGGAATTAAAATGTAAATTTATTGGGGCCTGTGCTGTGGCTTAGTAGGCTAAGCCTCTGCCTGAGGTTCTGGAATCCCTTATGTTTGTGGGCTCGTGTCCTGGCTGCTCCTCTTTCAATCTCTTTGCTATGGCCTGGGGAAGCAGCATGTGCTTGGGCCCGAGTGCTTGGGTCCCTGCACCTGTATAGGTGACCCTAAGGAAGCTCCTGGCTCCTGGCTTTGGATTCACCATTTGGCGAGTGCATCAGCAGAATGAAAACTTTTTTTTTTCCTTGTCTCTCCTTCACTCTGCAACTCTACCTTTCAGATAAATAAAGAAATAAAAATATAAGTTTACCATACTGAAAGAAAAAAGAGTTGAAAACCATGTAGTTTTTCAGAATGCGCATTTTCCATGAAGTTTTTGACTTATCCTCTTGTATCTTTGAGACCTTGTTTAATGCTCTAATGACTTTAATATTAGAAAACTACCCCACTCCCGGTGAATTATTTCTGATATTGTAACTCAGTAGTTCTCAACCAAGGAGTAAATTTGCTTCCTGTGGACTTCGGCAATGACTAGAGACATTTTTGGTCATCATAACTAGATGGAAGGTACCACTAACATCTAATGTGTCAAGAATAGGCTACTAATATTTCTACAGTGCACAGGAACAATCCTTAGCAAAAATGAATTTGCAGCCCAAAATGTCAATAACACCAAGTTTGAGAAACTACACAATCTAACTCATTAATGTGAGGTGTTTTTCTGACCTTGGTTTTTCCTGGACATCTCTGCAATCATACATGCATTTGTTTCTATGGCAGCCAAATAGTTTTCTTCCATTTTACTTTTACTCTTTCTATCCTCACCAACGACACAGTCTTGAACCTAGAAGCATACTGAAGCTAAGAATTTATGTGTGCTCAATTTTGAAAGGAGGAAGGCACATAGTTAGAAATTCTAGTGTTGTGAAGCCTGGGGCAGAGTTGTGTTTGATGAGTGGAGATTGGAGGGAACGAAGATCACCTACTTATGTTCCTTATCCTGAGATTATCATGCAGTTGCAGTGTAGCTCAAAGAGAGTGAATTAACAGTTATGATTACCCTGCCTTGTAATAGTAGCCACTCTTGATAAGAGAGAAAACTATATAGAGTAATGGCAAGTTGGAAAGCTTAGCAAGTTTAACTACCTCCCATTTATGACAACAAAAACTTTTTAGAAAATTTAATTTACCCTTTGTGAAATGATAATTTATTTAGGCGATTAACACCAATTCTACATGCAGAAAAGGTTATTCCAATAACTATTGTACCTACAAATTAAAAATGACCAGCCCACCAAAGAAAGACACTTTGTCCTCATTTAAATCTGTGAACATGTGTGTGTGCTCTTTGATAGTGTATAGTATTGCTTTTTGCTTTCAGCCTTTTCTCAATTCATGGCTAAAGGTAATCATGAAATAATTTACTGGCTCTTGATGTTGGGTGACTTAAAGACCACCTAATCAAGCCTTCTTAGTGAATGACTTTATTCTAAATGATTTTTGATGGATGTAGAACAAGCCTTATTGGAAATTTCCAAGGATAGGAGCTCACTCAAGATTAAATGAATTTTGGGATTAGAAAAAAGATGAATAGGCAATTTGTCTAACCACTGTCAAATTATTAAATCCACTCTAGTGTCTTTGATACCAACTTCAGTCATCCCTTAATTCAAGAAATATTATTTGAATGTGCCTATATTAATTTCTTTGTGCATACTTTGACCATTATTTGAAGAGAGAGTCCATAATGTTATCCTGTTTCAAATATCAAGTGTTAGATTCTGGGAATGTAATAGTACAGTCAAGTAAGAAAGATTTTCTGTCCTAGAATAAATTACAGAAGCACAAATTATAAATATGAAACTACAGGTGAATTAATGTGATATAAAGAAGTATAAACAACTGATATTTTAAGAAAAGAGTCCTTGAGAAAGTAGTTTTTGAGAATTAAAAATAGGAAAGTCAGCCCTTTCCATTGTATTCCCTCCTAGCAATTGGGAATTCTGCCTTATGTCAAATTGGTATATCTTAAAAGCTTAAATCTGCTTATTAAATATATCTCTGGGAGTAGGTAGTTAGCCTGTGGTTAAGCTACACACTTTCCCACACCTGAGGTTATGTATGTATATTTAAAAAATGTTTATGGGCTGGCGCCATGGCTCAATTGGCTAATCCTCCACCTGTGGCGCCAGCACCCCGGGTTCTAGTCCCTGTCAGGGTGCTGGATTCTGTCCCAGTTGCTCCTCTTCCTGTCCAGCTCTCTGCTGTGGCCCAGGAGTGCAGTGGAGGATGGCCCAGGTGTTGGGCCCTGCACCCTCATGGGAGACCAGGAGAGGCACCTGGCTCCTGGCTTCGGATCAGTGCCAGCTGGAGTGGCCATTGGGGGGTGAACCAATGGAAAAGGAAGGCCTTTCGACCTTTCTCTCTGTCTCTTTCTCTCTCTCACTATCCACTCTGTCAAAAAAAAATGTTTATGTGTTTATTTGCAAGGCAGAGAGAGAGAGAGAGAGAGAGAGGGAGAGAGAGAGAATTTATCATCACTGGTTTATCCCCCAAATGCTCACAACAGTCAAGTCTGGGCCAGGCCAAAGCCAGAAGCCAAGAGCACCATCCTAATCTTCCAAGTGGGAGACTCAAGAATACGAGCCATCATATGTGCCTTCCTAGGTATCTTAGCAGGCAGCTAGATCAGAAACGGAATCGCCAGGACTTGAACCAGGCTCTCCAGTGTGGAATGCAGGTATTCCCAGCAGTGGCTTTATCCATTTTGCTACAACACCCATCCTGAATTTCTGGATTTGAGGACTGTATCAGACTTCTGACTCCAGCTTGATGCTAATGAAAATCCTGGCAGGCAGTGATGGTTACTCATTTAACTGTACTCCCGCCACCATGTTGGAGACCTGGGTCGAGTTCCAATCTCTCACATTGGCCCCAACCCAGCCTTTTGTGAGCTTTGTGGGAGTGAAATAATGGATGGCAGCTCTTTCTCTCTCTCATAAATAAAATTTATACAAATAGCATCCACTCTATGCATACCTTCAACCTCAATCATTAAGCTAACAACTTTATGTAAAATTATTTAGTTCCATCTTCATAATGACCCTATTTTCTTCCTTTAAAATGAAATTCAGATGTGTTACATGGCTCTTCACACTGGCATTGCTTATGAATCAGCAAGCCATAAATGAAACGCCATCCTCTAAGACCACAATGTTTGAAAGAAGCTGTAATGTTTACTTGTAGCCTATCCCTGTCCAGGCCAGATCAAACTCCCCTAGTTCTCTTTCACCATTGTTCGTTACACTGTTTTTCTTCTTTTCTTCTTCTTTCTCCTCCTCCTCTTTCTCTTCCTGTTCCTCTTCCCTTCCTCTTCCTGTTCCTCCTCCTCCTCTTATTTCTTATCCTCTTCCTCTTCTTCTTCTCATCCTTGCCATTCTCTTTCTTCCTATTCTTCTTTAAGTGATTAGCAATTAGTATTGGCTTCATTCCAGGTCAGTCCTGAAATGTAATTGCCATAATTTCAATATACTGTTTTTTTGAACTTGTACCATCCTCCTATTTCTTCCCTCTTCTTATTTAAACACTATTTTAAGTTTATTGTAAATTTAGTAACTATCGTATAAACTGAATTACCAGTGCTCTGTTTCTAAATCTATAACATTCCTTCTAAGTCATTTTTCAGATTATGTTCATAGCATTCACATTTTAAATCACATTAAACTCCCTGTTATTTGTAATCTTAGTCTTATTTTGAATACACTGTGATACTAGGCCATGTCTCTCCCTTATTATATATTTGAAGCATTTTATAAAATAGCTATTTGATGATTGGGCATTTAAAATTTTTATAGTTTTTCTTATATCAAGAAAAATGTGTTTCCTTGTATCAACCATTAATCCTACTTCTCTTTGGAGAAGGATCAAATATACCTGTCCATCTGGCCACTTGATAGTGAGAATAATAGAAGCTAGCATTTTTTTTAAAGCACTGTGATAAGTGGTTTCTCTGAATTACCTCATTTTATCTTCCATTATGTGGTAGGAACTACAGATTATCTCTTGAAATAACTGGAACTTGAGGAGCTTCTATAACTATGTAAGTTCCCACATCTAGTAACTTTTCCAGCTGACGTTTAAATGCGTCCTCTATCTCCCCAAGAATCCTGTAAATAGAGCTACTGCATCTATCCTTATATTTTCATTCTTTCAATTGTTCATTAAACATTTATTGAAAAAAAGAGAGCAAAATAAGCCAGAATATGTTTCCATATCTTATACTCAAAGAAAAAAACTACATACAAAATATGTGATGCGAAATAAAGCGTGCTAGGCATCATATAATGAAAGTGCAGAGGAAGAGTAGTCCACCCTGGGCTGCAATCGAGATAACATTGTCTTCTTGGATGAGAGAGCCTCTGAATTATGTTTTGATGATGATGCCAGTTGCCTGAGAAACGGAGATGTTGGGATATGTTAAGTTACATCCATGCAAAAGTTGGAGCAGCCAGAGCCTTTTTGTGAATGGCCTTTTGTTGAATGTCATAAAGTGAGTGAATAAAAAGAAGCACAACTGGAGAAGTAAGCAGATGCCAGGTCATAAAATACCTTATATGCCATGCTAAGGGCTTTGGACTTTATCATGAAAGCTATGGGAGTCATTATAAGGTTCTGAAACAAGGAAAAATCATGATTAGATTTGCATTTTTGAAAACTCACTCTAGCAGCCATGTAAATAATGAATTAGAAGAGAGTAAAGCTAGCAGGAAGGAATCCAGCCAGGAGGCTGTTACAGGAATCCAAACTGAAGAGTTTGGGGGCCTCAATTAAGGAAGAGTGACAGTATTAAAACTAGAAAAATTCATAACTCAAGTGTTAGTTTGTGGATAGAATTTATATGATCTGTTGGCTAAATAAAAATAAAAAATAAATAACCAGGAGACTCAAAGATAGGTCTTGGTTTCTGTCCAGAGGCAGAAAAAGTAAGTGCAGATGGTAAAGATGAAGTGGTCTTTGGTCATTTTGAGCCAATATGCCTGTGGGAAATCTGAATGAATATGGCGGAAAGGAAAGGATGTTCACCTGAAGCTCAAAGTAATCTTGAGGGTGATGAACTTCTAGGTAATAGTTGAAGATATGAGTATGAATTAGAATTCTCACTTTGAGTATATTGAATGGTAAAAGATGAAGTAAAAATGTGAGGGGGATGACACAAATAAAGGTCTGACACAAATAAAGGTCTAACCCAGGACTCCAAGAGTCAGCAAGAAAAGCAGTAATGAATTTATTCACCAAAATCAAAACTTAGCTGATCTCTGAAAAATATGAGCTGGATGGGGAAAATGGTAGGTGGAAAAGTTTTTGGCAGACGTTTCTTTGTTTTTCTTGCTTCATTTTGCTTTGGAATAATAACATAAGAGTATGGACTTGGATGGGATGGAAGTCAACACACATTTATGGTGATGATAGAAAAAACTGAAACATTTTTGTACACTGATTTTTTTTCTTATGAAAAGGAGTAGAGTAGTCATCTTTTGAGAATAGGTGGTATTGGTTTTCTGAAGAGCTGAGGAGGAAATGGTAAATATTTGAAATATTTCTTTAGGAACAAAGCTCACTAGTGACATTGGAAAGGCTTCCCATTTGAGATTAGAGACCAGGAAATGATTCTGAGCTCAATTTACTTTCAGTCTGATTTCCAGAAATAGAAGGGAAAGAGAAAGGCCTAAGTAGGCAGAAAGTTGAACTATTTAAAAATTGGTCCTCTGGCCAGCACCACAGCTCACTAGGCTAATCCTCCACCTGCAGCACTGGCACTCCGGGTTCTAGTCCCGGTTGAGGTGCCAGATTCTGTCCTGGTTGCTCCTCTTCCAGCCAGCTCTCTGCTGTGGCATGGGAAGGCAGTGGAGAATGGCCCAGGTGCTTGGGCCCTGCATCAGCATGGGAGACCAGGAGGAAGCACCTGGCTCCTGGCTTCGGATGGGCACAGTGCGCCGGCCGTGGTGGCCATCTGGGGAGTGAACCAAGATAAGGAAGACCTTTCTCTCTGTCTCTCTCTCATACTGTCTAACTCTGCCTGTCCCTACAAATAAGAGATAAAAAAAAAAAAAAGTCCTCTGGCAGTTGTTTGTGTGTCTGGGGTGGAGTGGGAAAGGGGAATGGTTGGGCAAAGAAAGAAAATAGGTAAAAGTAGGTAAAAGGAATGCTTGATTTTTTTTTTTCAACAAATATGTATTGAGAGTTAGATGTGTGCTAGGAGCAAGGCCAGCTATTAGAGATAATCCCTAATGAGGTAGAAACAGTTTTGCCCTGATGGAGCTTCCCGTTGACTGGGCCTCGAAGTCTAAAGTACATATTTAATCCACTCTGCTGGTAAGATTTATGTTTTGGTTCACAAAACACTGTAATCTAACAAGGTATCACAATTGATGTGATTTGCTGGTCTCTGCTGTCTAGCTACAGTATCTGATTTCTTTATCCTTTGATTCTTTCTCCATTCCAATTACCTTATAGCACTGCAGTCACCCAAATAAATATATTAAAATCTTTAATTCTGTATTATTTTCATTCAAATTTGGTATAATCACATAATTGTACAGTTTTTGCTAGATTGTTATATATTAGTACATTGGAAGCACTAAAAAGATGTTGCCATTTTTCACATTTCTGTCATTAGAGTCATTCTTAAATGTATTCAAATAACTTTAACTAGTTGTTCTTGGAGGGTTCAATATCTTTTCTCCCCCTTTCCCATCTAGATTTTACAACCATAATTCATATACAGCAATACATCAATAAACAGCAACATTTAGTAAAATGGTGATAGAAATAGCATTTGTTGTCGACATTGTTATGACGACAGGTTCTAACATTTATTCTTCTTATTGGTGGGTACTCTTACAAAAATATTCTGTATTTTAGACATTAAAACATGTTCAAAATACTAAGGAATTTTTGCTAACAAATCAGTCACAAATGGAATCAGAAACTTTGCAAATTGCATCTACTAGGTTATAGTCACTTATTTTCTTAAAATCTCATCACTAGTTCCAAATTTGAAATCTTTCATTTAAAGGGGCCACAGAAAGACACACATATTTTCTAGTTTTTTGGTGGAGAATCAATTTGCCATTCACATGTTGATATGTAGTAAATGTTTTATGGAACTAAAATAGAAAAAAATAAAGTTATATTTTTGTAGCAAAGACACCAAAAGCAATATCAGTGGGAGGAGTAGTCATATACAGGAACTGCAAATTACAGATACTAGCAAAGAAACCTTTCAATTGGTTTGCCAGAAACACCAGGGTGTGTCATATCTTCTGGGAAAAGGTGAATATGAATGATAATAGTTTTAAATTTTTAATATGATTTAATGCAAATATTTTAGCAGATTAGTCAGGGCTGTTTTTTAAAAAAATAGTTGTGATTTTGTCCTTAAGCATTAAACAATATATAAAGTACATAAGTCAGTTATTATTAACACAACAAATGTTTATTATTTTATAGCAAAATCAGATAACTGGCATTGACATCAATCGAAACTTCCAATTAAAAGTCTCATCTAATTGTATAAAACTAAAAACCAAACCAAACCAAACAAAACCATCCTTCTTGTGAAATCTTAAATCAGGAGGCTGAGGGTATGTTTTAAAAAGCAAATGGGCTAGTTAATGACAAAAGGTTTAAATATATATATATATATATATAGTGGATAAAGAAAGTTGTAGCTAGTAGTTTTACCAGGCACAGCAAATTTTACATTTGTGGGCAGGCTAATTAATCTATATTTAATATACTACTTAGATATGCTAATAATATGCACTAATATTTCAGTATTCATTAAATATCTGGTATTGCACTATGCATTTTATGCACTTTAATGGAATTTTTCCAACAACCTCCCAATAGAGACATTACTTTGTACCCATCTTACAGATGAAGTCAGAGGACTTCAGGGACTGAGATAGCTTTTCTTAAGTAGAGAGCTACAATATGTCAGAACAAACTATGAGCCATAGTCTGTCTACACATCTGTCTACAAATTTTATCAACACTGGATTTTATAATGTGATGAGAAGTAGAAATAAATCAGCAATTTGGAGCCAGGATTTGGTTTCACATTTGAGTAAGATATGTAACCTTAAGAAGCTAAATTACACATTCAAAATCTCAGCTTCTTCATCTAGGAACTGAGTACAATTCCTATAACTAAATAAAATAATCTTCATGCTAGCATGATTTTTAGAAGATAGTCATATCTCATATCTCATAAATATCTCTCGGTAAATGTTGATATCATCAGCATCATCATCATTATCATCAGCATCCTTACATTTACTAGATATAGGACAGGAATCAGTTCTCGATTTTGTTGTCTGTTATGCTCTTAATAAAACTTCATCAAACCTGGTCAAAGTCTTTCCTTCACTTTATCATTTATCACATGTATTATTGGAGAAGTCTTATAAACTATCATTTCCTTGTCCAGAAAACAGGACTAGTACTCAAACCAATGGTTGTTTGACA